CTTGTTGGGATTGCTGAACAAGTGCAAGAGAGCAAGGTACTAGGTAGCTGTGAGGACCTCTTGATTACAGTTCAGGGACAAAAGCTGTTGCAGCAGTCATACAACATCAGAAGTAATGAGGAAGTACATCTGTCACACTGCTTCAGACATAGAATATAATCAACATGGTGTGCTATGCTGCAGTCATTTGCTTGACTGACTATAGACATACAGTGGTAAACAAGCAATTAAATATTGGTACTTGCAAGTTCTAACTTCGGCAAAGAACAATTTATTGCTTTATCAGGGTGATGCCTCTTATACCAGGGCCTGCTTTTGATGTGCATTAAGCTCTGTTGGCTCGTGTTAACTTTCAGGGGAACTTGCATTTAGTACTCTAGTCTTGTGGAGTTACTGCTGGAACTCCTTTTGGACCTCCCTTTATAGTGGCTGTTACTAGCATTAGAAATGCGAAAGTATCAGACGTCCAGATAGGGCTTGTGATCTTTACAACTTTACTTTTAATTTGGGGGATCAAAATGAGTCATTTTTTTCTTTCTGTGTAAGTATCCTCAGTGTTCTCATATCTGAATGAGATGGCATGGTGTCAGTAGAACAAAGTACAGTAGTATATGGAGGTTTAGCAATATCAAAAATAGAACTAGCCAGAGGAACAGGTGCTATGTAGGCAATGCTTTCTCACTGCTCTTTGATATAAATCAGCTCTTAAAACTGAGCTTTGGAGGTTTCCTCTCAGTTACTGTGTATATAAAAATCATGATCAGCCTTAAGATTTGCACTTTCATTATGTCAAAAACTTATCTATTAGTATAGTCAGGTTTTAAAATCTATGATCAATGAGGGTTTGATCCTGTTTCCATTCAAGTCAAAAGGAAAAAAGACAAACTCCCATTAACATCAATGATGTAGGAGGAATTTCTTATTACTGTTTAATCCAGGATCCAGAAGGAAGGGCCAGTATTCAAAAAGTGTAAGTGAGGAATGAATAACTAGAGGCTGGTCAACCTGACCTCAATCCCAGGTGGAATAACAAGAAGGCTGATATGGGGATTCATTTGATAAAGGATGCCAGTCAACATGGCTTTATGGAAAATAGGTCTGTTAAACAAACCTGACTTCATTTTTGATGAGGCTATAAGTTTGGCTGTTGTTGTTGTTGTTTTTAAAGGTGTAATATACTCTAGGCTTTTGTAAGATGTTTGATGTCATGGCAATGCAAGTAAACAATTAATGCTACATGGGCTCAAGAAGGGACATGAGAACTGACTAACTAAAGTAGTTGTTAATGGAGAACTGTATTATTAGTGGAGTTCTGTAGGGATTGGGTCGGGCTCGATGCAGTCCTTCATCATAGTTGTTGTGGTTACTACTGTTGTTTAGATTTATGTCTTGCCTTATCCAGAAAGGCTCAATCTAGAAGCTAATATAAAATCATTTGCAGATGATACAAAAATTGGCCTTGTGTTATGGAACTTGGCAGATGGGGCATTCTTGTAGCATGACCTAGATCCCTTGGTAAGCTGGACCCCTTCATACAAAATGTGTATTTAATACAGCCAAATGTAATGTTGTATATCAAGGATCAAAGAATATAGACCATCCCTACAGAATGGGGACTGCATTGTGGTAAGAAATGCCTCAGGAAGGCATATATTACAAGGCCATAATGGAGCAACAACTGAACATGAACTCTCAGTACAACATGGTGGCAAAGTGGCTAATAAGCAGGGATCCTGGCTTTCTCTCTTAAAAAAAAAAAAAAAAAATCACATTTTTCCATGATTTAAATGAAACGGAGGGAGAGATTTGGGGTTACTTTATTTAACTGAAAACTGGGGATTTTTTTTTTTTTATCGGAGAAAACCAGAATCCCTGCTAGTAAGGTAACTGCATAAATGGGTGAATACCATGTAGTAGCAGAGATGAGATGTGATTTTTCTCATCTTTCATGCAGCATAGGCAAACATGATATTAGGTTACTTTTGTTCAGTTCCAGTGCCTGTTTTCCACCATCTAGTGGATGATGGAAAAACTGGTGGTGTTTCAGAGAAGAGCCACAGATGAACCCAGTCTGGGCAGAAAGCTTTGCAGTGAGAAGGAAGGAGTGTAGTTTTACTTCATCAAAAAGGAAGGTTGGGAGGTGGCTTGCTTAGCAGTGTATAATACTTGCACAGAGTAAAGGTACTGGAAGACTGTAGTCTAGCATTGAATGGAATTATAAGCACTAAAGGCTGGAAGTTAAAGCCAGATAAAAAAAAAGTTGAAATTAGGTAAAGGAGCACACCACAAACTGAAGCAGTAGATATACCTTCTCTTGAGGTCTTTAGAACAAGAATGCCTGTATGCCTTTGTGGATGAAATCCTGTTGCCAGTCTCAAGGTACTGAGCTTATTTTAGGGAAAGCTGAGCAAAGACAGACCAGCTGATTGAACACTACTTTTGTCCCTGCAGTCTATCAAGGGTCCATCTTTTAATGCAAGGTGGAATGTTCAGGGAGTTAGTTTTGTGGGATGTTTTCTGATGCATCAGCTCTGTTGCGTAGGGGAAAAATATAGGAAAGAAGAAAATGTTTGTATGCACATAAAGTATTCAGATGTATGCTGATATTCCTTAGTATAGTTATGTAGACATGTATACCTAATTGCTTTATTCAGTTACCTTTATCTGGTTACTTTTTTCCAAGCCTTGCTCCATTAACAGATCATTTCTCATTGGCAGCTGATACTGATAAGCAACATGTCCAAGATTTTGCCCTGTGGAAGGCAGCCAAACCTCAAGAAATTTTTTGGGCTTCTCCCTGGGGGAAAGGAAGACCTGGCTGGCATATTGAATGCTCAACCATATCAAGGTCAGATTTTTTTGGCTTTTAATCTAGCACTTTTGTCTTGTTTTCAATGGTAAAACAGTCAAGCCTCAACAAAAATATTTCACTTGGCCAGTGGAAAGTATCAGGGTAAATCAGTGGCACCTAACCTTCAGGCCCTGTGAGTGGGATGAGTGGTGCAGGGTCAGTCTTCAGGCTGGATTCCATATCAGGTTGGTCTATGGGTGTGATCCAGCACACTGGCCCAACTTCCTGTGCCTGGATTTAGCCACACAGCAATGAGCCCACACACTGAGATCCTGCTGCTGCACGCTGGACTGACCCTGCTTGTCCAGAACCAGCTGCATGCTGGACCAGCCTTTTGAGTCTGGATTTGAGCTTGCAGTGGTGCAGTCTGGCGGACAAGTCCACGTTATCTGGTCTGTGGGGCTCCATATGGGTCTAGAAATTAGGCAGCAGGGGAGCAGCAATTAACATTGTCACTGCTCTCCTGCTGCCAATGTTTCAAAACATTGAGGAGCCCCATGGGCCAGTTGACATGGCTCTGTAGGCTGCATCTGGCTCAGAGGCCAGGGGTTGAGCACCCCTGGCCTAAATGAATATTTTGTATGCTATGTAATGTCATGTACAGTACAAAGAAGGTGTGAATGTAATGATAACCTTGTTGTCTTCCTATAACTGTTCTTCCATAGTGGATTGGCCTATCGCTCATCCCCTATCCTAGATGACCAGTGGGCTACTTTTGACCTGGTCCTTCTCCTTTTACTTGTTCAGCTTTGGTTACTCTGGTAACAGCTAGAGCTCCCAGTGGCACAGACCTGGGAGCACACACATGTTTCCACCCTGTCAAGATGCAATCCTTATGGATGATCAGTGTAGCCAGTGTTTTATACTATGTATTGGCAGTAAGGAAGAAGCTTGGGTCATAAAATTATTTTGAAAATAGGAATTGCAGGAACATTACTTTAAAGGGACTTTCAATAATTCTCTGTGGCTTGAATCCTAATTTCAGATTTTATAGGACTCTCACACCGGTTCACTTTACTGGCTTCTCCCACAAATCAAGGAAAGCAGCTTTGTGATTGACCAAGACTTAAAAGACTGGAAATCTAGTTCCAGCTCTGACACATAGGCTTTGTGTTTAGGCTTGGGAAGTTATTTGGGACCAGATCAGTTTTCTGTTAAAGGCATTGGTAGTTTAATGTACCCTTAACCACTGATTCAGTAAGGCATTTAGCTTAATTTTAAATTTGGTTACAAAATAAAGATAGGATTATTCATGTTGAAGGCCATCATTTCTCAGCCTTAGTTTTCTCATCTGCAAAATGGAGGTGACATGTACCTAATTTCACAGGGATTTTGTGAAACATAGTTAATACTTTTTAATAGCTTTTGAAATTCTTTTATGGAAAGTGATACATGTGTACCTCAGTAAAATGGAGTGGGACTTAGGCACTTAAAATTGTAGGATCATACCACTGATTAGGGAAAATCCTTTAGTCCAGTGATTCTCAACCAGGGTTGCATAATATCCTTTCAGGGGTGCTACAGCACCAGCACCACCATCACAGCCAGGTAAGATTGACATGTGTACCTCTGTTTGCTGGAGGCATACATGGGGCTGGACCAGGATGCAACTGTTAGGAGGTAGCACTCCTGCCTGCATTAACCTTATTATTGCCTGATGTTTAGAGGAGGCTTTCAGCTCTCCCTAACCCACTTAACCACAAACACGATTAAGATTGGACACCCAAATCTCATACATCTTGCCAAGGGTGGGAAGTAATCCTCTGAAGGACAGCTCTGCATGCTTGGATAGGGGTGCAGTGGTTTATGTGCTACTGATTATAAATTAGTCAGTGCCCTTTAAAATTCATGCACGGTGTTTGACATTCTGACATTCCTATGGCAGTAAATTTTATAGGCGCCCTCTCTATGCTGAAGTGGTACCTTGTTCTTAATTGTTTATAATGAATTTCCCATACAGCTTGAGTAATTTGTTCTCCATAGAATCCTAGCATTTTGTGCTGTCTAAGGGCTTTGATTAAATGATTCCCATCCAGAAAAAGAGACTCAAACGCATCTCTTCTGAAAACACTGAAAAATAAGCAATTCCCAGTTTCTGTATCAGTCTGAGGTAGATTTCTTTCTCCCCCACACACACACTTGGGAAGTTGTTACCAAATTAGCTAGGTCTGACCCTATTTAACTTGAGAAATTTCAGTCCAAGCTGCGATGACAGAAGATGTAATCGTTGTGTTAGAATTTTCTCTTGCACTCTGTGCGGGTGCACCTGTGGCTGTTAGTTATTAGTATCTGAATGTGAAAAACATTTTCTAAAGATGATTTAAGAACAGAAAACAGATCTAGTGCTGTAAAAGAGTTGTCCAAACCTACTGAAGTGCACAGAGCCACACAGCTTAAAGTGCAACCTGTGTAAATTAGACTGAAAAAATTCACTCTAGAAAAGAAAGTCCAGGGCACTGCAGAATGACCCATCTGCCAGTGCAATGCTATTTACCTTCTCCATTGCTGTAAATGCTCCTTTCACCTTGGCTAAATGAAGCCCCTGCAGGGTAAATAGCAGCTGACCCACTCAGAGACAGCACAGGCATAGTAATTTTGGGCCATGAGAAATGGAGAACTCAGTTTTGTAAGTCACCTAAAACATTTTACCTTTTCAGGTAGCTGCTAGGCATCAGTTTTTAGCAGTAACGACAGCTTGCCCTTCCAGCTTCCCTTTTTTGCCAAAGAGATCAAAGTACTTAGCACTGTTTAATGAGCCTTATAATAGCTTTGTAAGCTGAGGGGCTTCAGCAAGAACATGGGCCTCCAACAGACAGTCAGAAATGGAATCCCTCGGACTTCATATTCCATCTCCTCTTTCACCTCATTTCCTGCTGCTGGCTAGCCCACTCTGCCTCCCCCAGTGGCTTGGGGGCCTTGGCGGCCTTTCCTTAATAGTCTTCCTCTCCATTTTTTTTTTTTCTTGGCTTTCCCCCCATTCTGCTGGTGAATCCTTAAGTAGAGGTGCTTCCTGCATGGTGAGGTGTTGTGGAGTTGGTTGCCGACTCTGTATATGTCTCTGGCTCCCATGACCAGCTATGCTAGATGCTGTTTTAGGAGTGGGCAGTCAGAAGTAGATGGGCAAAAGCATTTGAAGGAGCCATCAAATAGTCACAGGTTTCTCTCTCCATTGCTATTTCTGGTCCCTTCACTTTCGTTCTTAGTCTGGGCAGAGGCACTTGGAGCTACAGTTTCACTCCTTTCAGCTGCACAAAACTGTTCCCAGCCATCTCCCCAGACTTAAGGGCCCCTGAGTACTCCGGGAAATAGAATTTATTTGCTTGGCAGGGAGTTGATTAAGGATTGTCCATGTTTTCCTGGTGAGTGAACTAAAGTTAATTGTATTGCCCAAGGTGATGCAACAAACATAGGTTGGAGCTGAGGACAGAACCCGTGAATTCTGACCCTTGATTCTGTGCTGTAACCAGGAGCTATTTTGGCCATGAATTGTCTGTAACTTCGTTGAAAAGTTACTCCTTTAATCTCTAGTGAAGTGAAATTAGAGAAACCACCTTTTTTTCTGCTTATGACGATAAGCATTTTCTACCATGGATTTATTTTTCAAATTCTTATAAAAATTCTCATAAATAATTAGCAGTAATATACATGGGCAGAAACACATGGGGCTATATCCTGTTTTACCCATTAGGCATTAAGTACAAATGTGAATGAGCCCTTGAAAAACCTTTCATGTGAAAAGCAGTGGGGCCTTTTCCTTTTCACTGAGTTGTGACTTCATCTTAAGGCTAAGAAGATGTCATGCTTCAAAAGTAGCTTCATTAGTAGTTGTTCAGAGTGTTGGGCAGGGTGGCATAAGATTGCAGTTATTTCTGAGCATCTACTTAGGTACCTAATATGTTGAATAGAATCTGCCCATCCTATTTTGAATCTTGTTAATTATTTTCTGCTTTGAGTGGCAGTGACTGCTATCAATTTGGCAACTGGAACAAAGAAAGGAGATGCCCCTGTTGGTTCTGAGTAAAAATTAAATGTGCTTGACCTAATAAAAACATGATGGTTTCCCAGCAGAAAATTAGACTGGACAGACTGATTACTAAGGCCTTAGCATTTGGATTAGCGTATAATTCTGGTTCTGATGTTATGATGAGCTGAATGTAAAATACTTCATCTTACTGGTTCCCTTTATTTCTTTTACTATGGCTTTTGTAGTGGTCTGTTTATTGATCAATAAAATATTGTTACAGTACAGTGTTTGGAAACCAACTGGACATCCATACTGGTGGCATAGATCTTGCTTTTCCTCATCATGAAAATGAAATTGCACAATGTGAGGCTTATCATCAATGTGAACAATGGTGCAATTATTTTCTACACTCTGGTAAGTAAAAAAACTAAGACGTTTTAATTTTTTTGTACTTTGCTTTCTTCTTTTAATGGCATAGTACTTGTATTCTTCAAAATTTGGGGGAAAACATGCTTCAGGACAGAGGTACTGCTATTGTGGCCAAGTGTTTTCCCCCTTCCCTTTTCCCCCCTTCCTTTTTTCTTTAAATAAATGAAGAAAATAATTAGAAACGAATCTTACCAGAGCTAATACAAATAGAAGCCTTTATTAGTACAGGAATGGTAGGATTTTTTTTTATTGTACCTGGATTTTGGGAAGTTGCCAAGTCGTGACATGTTGTACACGTGTGGACAGGAAGGTCACTAACTGCCTTCTGAAGATATTGTCTCCTAGAATTCTTGCTCACTTTTTATCTACCTTCTCCCAGAATTTGTGGTGCTGCTGTGAAAGTTATGTTGTCTTTTGTCTTTCTGGAAAGCACCTACATTGAACACCTTCAAGAGCAAATTGGATGCTTATCTTGCTGGGATCCTATGACCCCAGCTGACTTCCGGCCCTTTGGGCGAGGGGCTGGACTCGATGATCTTCCAAGGTCCCTGCCAGCCCTAATGTCTGTGAAATCTGTGATATTTGTCTATCTCCATAAAGACTGAAAAGATTTATTCATGTTTGCTCTTTTGGATGTAGTCCTAAAAATAGAACTTTGATTCCAAGGTGGTACAATCTGAGGTAAGGTGAGAGGATAGGTGGATGCTTTTTTTTTTTTTTTTTTAAATAATTTTTAAAAGCTGGAATAGTTACAGATCATTCTTGGATTCCTTTGTTTCAGTCAAGTGTTGTTGGCCTGAAAAGAAAGTTTTCATTAGAAATCTGTAATAAATGACCGTATTTATAAATATAGTGGAATAATTTGAATGATGATGAGAAGAGACATCCATACCACAGGGAGATGTGACCTGCAGGTAATGCTGAGGTGTGTGGAAGCTGGTGAACAAACAAAACCCCCAAAGCTGTTTTAACAGAGAGAAACATCTGTGTTGGAGAAAAACACTGGCATATAATTATTTTGTAGTTGACATACATGAAACTTATCTACATTCTTTTGGGAGACTTAATGTACCAATAGCCTTATGTCATGTGATGAGAAGAAACAAAATGTGTTAGTTTCAGATGTGCACAATTTGGTGCTGTCAGCACTTGCCGGAGGGAAAGAAATAATTAAAGAAAAAGGTTAGTTAAAATTTGCTTCTGAATGTCCTTTGCAGCTTAGTTAGGAAAGGAATTTGTCAGAGCTGTAGTACACACAGGCTCACAGTATAAAGAACCTGTCTCTCTTGTTTCTTTACAGAACTGAGAAGAGGACTTGACTTTATGAATCTATTAAGATAACTTTATTTTCTGGCCAGCTGCCTCATTGGTTATGCCTAAATAGATCATCTGAAAGGGCCGAACCTTAGTTCACACAGCCTCATCCTTTGCTGTGTTGAGTAAGAATCCTCCTATGCAGATTTTAATGATAATGGTGCTCCAGCAAACACTAATGTATGAAGAAGCAGTATTAGCAGTACTGTAACAACATAACAGTACTAGCAGAGCAAAAAGCAGTATTGGCAATAGTACTAGGGATAATAACCCTGAATGTTATGCTTCTGTTTGCCACAATGATTACTTTGGCAGTCTCTAAAGTTGACATATTGACTACTGCTGTTTCATGGAAGAAGCCTTGCTGAGTTCACTGGGTTACTTGGAGTAAATACTGTAGACTTAGACCCACTGTAGATGCTGGGAAAAGATGAGGTGGTTCACCCATGCAGGTACTCATCTATGAAACAAAGTTACTAGTTTCCACTCCCAGCATAGAACAGGCTATCAATCAGCAAGAGAAGGTTCAGAGGTAGGTTGTTATCCTTCAGGGCAAGCTTTTCTTCTAATTTTGTGGAGCTTACTGATTTTCTTCAGCATTCATTTCTGTGTAGCAAAGTTTTAGGTGATGGTATCTTTAAATTTAGTTTGGAAAACAAAGCCCCAAGAAAAACTTTGTCTAGCAGAGAATGAAGGGTTCAGAGATCGTTGAAAGAAAACCAGCTAGAATCCAGTGAGCAGTCAGGTGATGACAATTCTTTAGAAGCCAATAAATTATATTCACTTAAGGGATGGATTTTCTTATGAGGTCTTTATTTTTAGACTGCTTGTACTCTGGAAAGAATATCAGGACCTTCTTAACTTCAGCTTGGTATTTTGTTTTGGTTTTGTAATGAAACTATCCCATCTTCATGATGATGTGCTCTGCACAGGGATATTATTGAAAGTGGTTATTGCTGCTTTATTAGGAAAACCCATGCAACACAAACACCCTGGTCCAGGAATTTAAATCTGGTTGCCTAAATTTGAATATCTTAATGCATATTTCTGTACCTACCTGAGAGTTGCCTGATTTCTTAGAAGTGCAGCACATCTGCAAGCTTCACTGCATTCAGTGGGATCTGCAGGTGCTCATCTTCTGAATCTGGTTGCTCTTACACAGGGGCCTACATTCAGGGATCCAGGAGTAAAAATAGTCTGGCATTTCTCTTGGCTGCATTTGTTAGTACTAAAGACCAGTGCACCCTTATAAGTGCAAGGTGTTGCATCTAGGGAGAAGGAACCAGCAACACCCCTTTAGGCTGAGGATCACCCTTCTTGTCAACACGGTGGCAGAAGGGGATCTTAGAGTTATTGTTGACTCCAGGATGGATATGAGCCGCCAAAGAGAGGAAGTGGTCAGTAAGGCTAACTGCACCTTGTCGTGCATCTACAGATGCATCACAGGCGTGTCCAGGGAGGTGATCCTTCCCCTCTATGCGGCACTGGTCAGGCCACAGTTGGACTACTGCGTCCAGTTCTGGGCGCCGCACTTCAAGAGGGATGTGGCTAGCATTGAGAGCCTCCAGAGGAGGGACACTCTCATGGTCAAGGGGCGGTGGGCAGGCCCTACGAAGAGAGGCTAGAGGGCCTGAACCTATTCACTCTCCACACAAGAAGGCTGAGAGGGGATTTGGTGGCCGTTTACAAACTCACCAGGGGGGACCAGTGGGAATTGGGAGAGGCTCTGTTCCCCCGGGCACCACCCGGAGTTACTAGGAATAACAGCCACAAATTGTTAGAAAGAAGGTTCAGGCTGGACATCAGGATGCATTACTTTACAGTTAGGGCTGCCAGGCTCTGGAATGGGCTCCTACATAAGGTGGTACTCTCTCTTACCTTGGGGGTCTTCAAGAGGAGGCTGGACAGATATTTGGCTGGGGTGATATGACCCAGGTACCCTTTCCTGCCCAGGGCAGGGGGTCAGACTTTATGATCTGTTTAGGTCCCTTCAAACCCTAGCACTATGATACTATGATGAAAGCAGAATCTTGTTTTGATGGCAGAGTCCTTGTAGCCAACATCAGATCCTTTTCCTCTCAATTTAGGGATCTCACAGGTTAGCTTTCCAGTTGAGGAGATTTCTGATCATACATGGCTTTCTGGAACCAGCCAGGACAGAAAATGATAGCAGGAGTTTCTAGTTTGCTGCTCACCCTGAACACCCTGTCTGTATTTTGCCCAGAAGATTTTTGTTTACAGGCATCTTGTGCACAAAAAAAAAAAGCAAACAAGCCTGAAAAACCTTGCTGTGCATAGAATAACATAAATTGTGTGTATCCCATTGGAGGAATGGTAAGCAAAAGTAAAGCAAAACCTCTGCCACTGTCAGGAAAATCAAAATGCAGTCACTTGTTCCTTAATGTCCTTAAAGAGCACGCTGTCTGGGGTGTAAGATGGATACCAGATAATGATGAATTGGGTGAGGACCAGTAATAATCTCATGGGCAATGTCCATGTGAGCATGGCTGTTTGTCTCCCCAGGGACAACCTTGTGCTGCCACTAGTTGTCTCCAGGGAACGCCAGGCACATGGCGTGTTACTCCAGGGAGGGGAGGCTGGGGCCAGCACTGGGCTGGCCCCAGCAGCCGGTGCTGGGGGCCTCCTGGGGCTGCAACAGCATCGGTCTTGCCACTCAGAGCCTGGCCAGCAGCTGCAGCATGACTCCAGCTGCCAGGCTCCAGTATTGAGTGGCATATGCTGCTCCCATGTGCGCTGGTCCACTGCTCTGTGCTTTTTTTGACCCCTGGTAATCCAGGAGTTGAAAAAAATCCCTGCACTGCTCTCTTGCGGCATGGAGAACAGCTGAATGTGCAGTATGTGGTGCTGCGGGCGTGTCTGTGGCGCCATATACTGCACTGCTGCACTCCTCTGGATGTGGTCATGGAGTTCAAATCAGAGTTATTCAGTAGTAAGGGAAGTTTGCAGTTATCTATATCTGTAATACACTATAGTTCCTATAGCTGTACTTCATGCCTGATCCTGAAAGGAACTGAGTGTCTGCAACTTGAGTGGAAGTTTAGGGCATTTTGTAACTTTAAGAGTTAATCCCTTTAGTCTGAAAAGCCAATAGAGGCTTTTAAACCATGGTGCTGAATACTGTCACTGGCTGTACAGTTAGCAGTTATTTTTTGCTCTCCTTCTTTCTTAAGAGGAGGCTTTGTTCTATCTCTGATTATTCTTTATATTTTTGCCATCATTTTTCCCTCTGTTAACAGAACATTTACTCTTCTATCCTCTTATTAATCCCTAAATGTGGTGGTGTTTTGTTTATTTCCCCATTTTTTTGAAACTCGCTCATTTTGTGCATGCTGTTCTGAGGCAAACCTGAAGGAAATGTTTTTGGATCAGTTGTCTACAAGTTATGTTTGTATTCCTTTTTTTACATTTATGTCCATTCATTAATGCTCTGGGTATGTAAAAATGTAGGGCTTGCGCTTGGAGTAAAAGTACATTTAAAAAGACTGAGTCTTGCCGTGGTTGCTAGAAATCCAACTACATTAGTCCTGCATCTAGCAACTGTAGCATCTTGGAGCAGAATTTTTCTTTTTGCTTTCTACCTATTCAGAAGCAGATTAAATTAAAAGTATTGTTTGTGTTTCAGGGCACTTGCACGTTAAAGGAAATCGAGAAAAAATGTCAAAATCATTAAAAAACTACGTTACAATTAAGGTAATATACTGTTGTAAACTACGGAAATGTGTAGTTTTTTATATACCAATATTTATTTTGGGTGCCTATAGACGAGAAAGGAGGCTGCTCCGATGCGCTGTAATTTAATTGAGTCTGCTGGAATGTGGTAATTACCACGGTCCAGCAACCTCCCGCATCTTGTATCAGTGTCCCTGTGCTTCAAAATGGCAGTGGAAGTGCTTTATCTAAAGCTCATTTGATGCTGATATACGAGATGCTCTGGGCACTTTAGTGGCTTCAAGATCCTCTATAATTAAAGTTCCCCCCACCCCCTTCCCTCTACTCCCAGAGCATGTGTATAAACACCCATGCAAGCCATGGGTAAAGGCTGGACAGGAAAGAGCTCCCCAGGTTTGGAGCTCATGGCTGTGATGGCATATTTGGGTAAATTAATCTTCAGTCATTGTCAGTAAAGGTACTCTGATTAAACCTTGTTTTATAATTCTTTGAAACCAAGACCTGTGGACCATGATAAAAAAAATGTAGTTGAGTTTTTTTTCTTTGTATAATAAATTTTTATACTCCTGTCATAATACATCTCAGATGAGAGGTATTTGGAAAGACTATGCTCAGATGATATAATTGATAAGTTTTTCAATTAAATTGCCCAGCAGATGAACAAATGTATACCATTCATAGATGTATATAGTTGTGGAACAACATTGTTTTGAGACTTTATTTTGTATCTCCTTTAATATGAAGCAGACCTCCAGACTCATGAGATGAAAAAACTCACTTTTTACATGGAGTTTTCATAAATCTTGTGCTGCTGCACTGATGGCTCTTGCAGCCTGCATTTCCTTTATTGCCATTGTCTTAGTAATGCACATAGATCTTTATCTCACATCTACTCTCAACAAGTGGCAAGAGCATGTCTGTTTCAGCAAGTTCTTTATTCTTTTAAATGACATGCTGTATTAGTGTCCCATGCTCTTGCCAGAAGCAGCTTTCCTTTGTTGAAGCAGTTGTTTCTGGTGGATTTTAGCAGGAGGTTTATTAACAGGTTCAGACAAAGTTCTTGAAATGGTGTAGAGCGCAGTTTGTCCTCTGCTTCATTCACAGCGTAAAAGTGTTCAACAACAGCTTGGCTGCACTTTTTTTTTTTTTTTTTTTATTGCTACTTGGTGTCAGCAGTGAATAATCTTTCTCATGTAGGCGTGTCATAGGAGGCTGAATCAGTGTACTGATTTCCCTCTCTGGCTTCCCTGGAAGACTATTTAAAATCCTTGGAAAATCAAAGTGCAGTGTGAGCTACTGTTATGCATAAAGTTTCTCCTCGTGTTGTCTGTTTACAGTGAAGCTGTAGGAAAATTTTCCGTTGCTGACAGCTCTCTCAGTTTTTTTTCCAAGTATGAACAGATGATGGAAAGGTGAAATAATGAGGGGTAATACAACAAGCACTACTTTTTAAAATTAAAAATTCTTTTTTAATTTTTAATGGGATATTTTACACCAGGAAATATCCTTTGCAAGATGAAAAGGGACTTCCCATTAGCAAGTTATGTTATATGCAATGTGAGTCAAATACTTTGAACAATAAAAAGCTGCAAATATAATTTTTCTTCCTTTTAATATTCTAGAGGTAATTTCTCTCTGTCATTAACCTTGTTAAGTAATTTTCAGTATAGTGAACCACACTTCCTCCCATTTAGGCTTTCTACAACTTAAATTTAAAACTCATGTGGAACTTTACTTGTATGCCTCCTGAAAAATTCAAGGCAAGGGTGATGCCTACTGCCTTTCCTTTATCCTCCTTGGCAGTAATGCACTGAGTGCATACCTTGCTGTTGGTGGGGCCAGTTTTCCCTTTCCTGCGGCCGTGCTGTATTCATTTAGTCAAGTTGTGGTTTTTTTATGACCCTCCTTCCCCTTATTTGATTGCTTTTTGGGGCGTGCACTGTTAGTTTCCCCATACATTCATATAAATTATTTTCTTCTTTAGGCATAATGTTCAGCTATCATACATTACCACAGTGTCTCCAGGCAATTTTTGTATACCAAGCTATATAAAGTTTTGAAAGCATAATTTAATAGCCTAGTCTGGTTCTTGATTTTAGTTTAATCTTGATTGCCTCAATTATTTCTATTTTCATTTTGTATATTGTACATGCCTAACATTTTGCTACCTTCAGCATGATGCTTGTTTTAATATTGTTACAGAAGCTAAATTTTAGATATTTCTTAAAGAAATATACTTTCCCCCCTTAGTTTCTTGCTTGTGCTGACTTTTTGTTCTTTGGAGTTTTTAAGTTCTACAACATTTGAGTGCTGCCAACCTAATATCATCCTTTTGCTAATTTATAAAAAATAAACACAAGTTAAAATTGTAACCAACTTTTACCAGCTAGTTTGTCCCCTTGTATGAGTTAGACAAGATTATTAAGTGGTTGAACCTTTTTAAATAAGTCTGTGAGATTTGATGTGGTTCTTTTAAAGACAGTGGGAAATTCTTTATCAAGAGGGTAAACTACTTTTAATGGAAACTTAATTTTAATCCAAAATAAGGTAATTGCCCTGAGGATTAATCTGATTTGAAAGGTTCATTGATAAATTGAAGCAACACAAAATAACTTAACTTTGTGCACTCCGAGTTTTCTTGTGTATTCTGAGCTGTAAACTTCTTTTTCAACAAGCCCTGCCTATTTATTTACCCAAAAGCACAAAGCTGGGGAAATGTTGGAGTAGCACCCTCCTCCTTTTTAATATCTGAAGCTCAGCACAACATTTTCAGATCTATTTTTCCCCCTACAATAAGCATACATGTACTGTTTGTAAGAATGTATGTGAAAGTATAGCTTTAGAATGCATCTTTCAGTGAGTTATACTGACAGTTGTGGCATTTGGCATATCTATGACATTTTCTTATTTAATGTTACTACAAGTGAAATATAATTTTTAGTTTCAATTTTTAAGTAAACGTATTGAAGAAGGGGAATATTTTTAAACTTTCAAACTGCAGAAGTGAATTAGGGGAAAATGGGTTAGAATCATAGAATCAGTGAGTCGGAAGGGACCTAGACAGATCATCGAATCTGACCCCCCGCCATGGGCAGGAAGGAGCACTGGGGGTGGGTGGGGTCATGAGACCCCAGCCGGGTGCCTACCCAGTCTCCTCTTGAAGATTTCCAGGGAAGGTGAGAGCACCACCTCTCTGGGAAGCCTATTCCAGGCTCTGGCCACCCTTACAGTGAAGTAGTTCTTCCTAATATCTAACCTACACCTATCCTCCCTCAGCTTGTGGCCATTGTTCCTGGTGACTCCAAGGGGGGTCCTGGTGAACAGACTTTCCCCAAAGTCCCTGCTGCTGGCCCCTGATAAGGTTGTAGGCAGCCACGAGATCCCCTCTCAGTTTCCTCTTGCGGAGACTGAAGAGATTCAGGTCCCTCAGCCTCTCCTCATAGGGCTGGCCACGGAGGCCCTCAGCCATATGAGTGGCTCTCTTCTGGACCCTCTCCAGGTTCTCCACGTCCCTCTTGAAGTGCGGCGTCCAGAACTGGACACAGTACTCCAGCTGCAGCCTGAC